TCTTTTTTTCCCCTCCCTTCTTCTTCTCAACCACCCACTCCCCGACCCCCCTTGAAAAAGCAAAATCCGACTGTGTTTCCTGCAAGGCTCGGGATTTCTGATTGCGGTTATTTCCATGTTTCTAGGTTTGTGTGATTTTGCTAAAATGCATCACCAACAGCGAATGGCTGCCTTAGGGACGGACAAAGAACTGAGTGATTTACTGGATTTCAGTGCGGTAAGAAACAACGGTGGAAATTAGCAACAGCTGTAAAAAAAAAAAAATTCTAGCTGCTCTGTTAACAAAAAAAAAAATCCAGCCAAAAAAAACCCTAAAGCAACAAAACCAACCCCAAACTGTGCTCTAAGTACATTGGGCAATTTTTAATCAGCAGCTAGAGGCATGGTAAATATTTTTTTTGCTTTAAAAAAAAAAAAAAAAAATCCAAACTGAGTATTTTTAGTCTTTCTGATTGTGCGTGATGGGAGATGCAGGCGCGTTCGCAGCTTGGTTTCATGTCTCGGACGGCTCACATAATTCCTGCCAAAAGAAACGCCCTGAAAACTGACCATTTCTCATCATTCCATCATACCGATATTGCACTTTTATTGTGCTTTCGATTTTCAAGCCTTGTTGGCACGTGAACTCATTAATTGCTAATGACTCGCTGATATTCTCCTTTCGGTTCTTCCCTTGTTTCGATTTTGGCACATGGAAAGTGCAAAGAAATCCACGACCGTCTCAGTTTAAAGTTTTCCCTGAAATCTCCTAGGGCTTCTGCTGGCATTTAAACCGCTCCCAGCTTCTCCTACCCCGCCCTAGCCAGGATTTTGGGAGCGATTTGCGAAGGAAAAGAGGGATTTTTGTCCCCCTGGGCCGCTTTGGAGGCCGAACGTTGCGCCGGACGCGTGCACTTGTCTAGTTTTGTCAGGCTCCCCCTCCCCCTCCAGCCCCTTCCTTCCTCTCCCCATCCCCTCCCTTCCCCCCCAATATGTCAGGAATATCTCTCTATCCACTTAGTTATTTATTTTGGGGAAGAGCTTTTGCTGGGAGAGGCAGGTCTGCTCCTAAAGCCCAGCAAGCCCCCCCCTCCCCTTTCCCCTGCGTGCTCCAGGCTGCTGCTGCTGCTCCAGCCTCGGCTTCTGAGGGATGGCTTGGGGAAGTTTGGCCAGGAATCGTAGCCTGCGGCAGCTTCGCAGCCCCCTCTCTGCTTGTCGGTGCACTTTTCCCATTTGTTCCTTGGCTTTTTGCAGGCTCTGACTCAGGGAAGGTGCGTATTATCCACTAGACACGTCGGAGAAGGGAGAAACCAATTAGGGTCGAAATAAATGCTGGGAAGAGAGAGAGGGAAGTGCGAGAGGGAGGGAGAAGGGGGCGAGGAGCGAGCCTGGCTTCCAATTGCTCGGTGGGAGAGACGGAATGAGAATTTAGGGCAGGTGGCACTTTGCTTTATTATTATTTGGGTTCCCACATGCCAGGCAAATCCTGGAGAGGGATGGAAATGGACGTTGCTACGCCGATGACCAAGGTTGCGCCCCCGTCCCAACTTTTTCCGCTTTTGTCGGCGGGGGAGAGGGGGAGCGAACCCCGCTTCCCAGGCTGGAGAACGCGGCTCAAAGGCTCCGAGGGCAGATTGTTTGGGAAGCTAATGAGCCTGAGAAAAGCGGGGACGCCGCTGCCGAGGGGCGCTGGGGGGGCCCGCGAGGAATCTGCACAAGGGCTGTGGGGGCTGACGGTTCGAGGTGGGGGGAGAGCAACTCCTAAGGAATGTGCCAGCAACTTCGGACTGCCACTGCACTCGGGAACCGCTTCTTTTGCACTAGTAATGCCTCTTTGTTTTTTTTTTTTGTTTTTTTTTAGATGTTTTCACCTCCTGTGAGCAGCGGGAAAAATGGACCAACTTCCTTGGCAAGTGGACATTTTACTGGCTCAAGTACGTACCGTTTTTTTGTTCCATCCGTAGCGAAACGTTGGGATTTATTTATCCGTAGGCATTACCTTTGTTGTGGTGCTTTAATCTCTTGCGGGGAGCAGATTCGTTCGGATTGCGGCGGAATTATTCCTAAGCGCCGGTTATTCTGATTTTTGGTATTATTATTATTTTTATTATTGTTATTTCCACGAGCCTGGGAGGTTTATAGAGCGTTGCCGCACATTTCTGATTTTTTAAAAAACCCCTGGACTTCTCCTCTGTTTAATCATTGCTTAAAATTGTTCTAGTTTTACAGTAGATTTATCTTTTCCTTTTAGCGATTTGAGCCCTGGAGAATTTTTTATTTCCAATTCCAAAGCCTCTCTTTGTCTGTCGGGGACGATAGTCAAAACCTCTTGTGTGCAAATTAATTTTGTGCATTAGAATTGAAGCAGAATCGAGGCTGTTGCAGTTAAATAAATAAAACAAGTATCCGAGAATAAACACCGGGAAAAAAAGTCTTTAGGATTAGACAGGGCCGCTTGCTGATGGAATATTTTTTGGGAATTAAAATCTTCTCTTGCTGCTTAAAGGCAGGGCATTTTGTTTTTAAACACGAGAGTGTTTTGGAAGACTTTCCTGAAATTTAGGCGGACAGTTTGTTCCTTTGGCTGTGGTAGGGCTGCCGGGCATCTCCCGCGCTCCCCAAAAACAGGAGCGGGATGACAAAAGCAGCCTCAGAGCTTGTGTGGACAGTAATTGTCTGGCAACTCAAGTTTCTAGAAGGGCTTTTATGTGCCTGACAAATGAGAGCTCCCAAAGATCCCTGGAGCACGTTTCCTGGCTTTTCAGTGCCTCGATGGACAGGTAGGGAGCTCTCCATTCCCAGACCACTCCACGTGCCAGCACGCCGGCCGGCGTATTCCTGCCCGCTCCTGCTCCGTGGGGGCACTTTGGGCAAGGCTTCCTGGCAAGCCACAGAGGAAGCCCTCCTTGCAGAGAGCTCCATACCTGCTACTTGCAGGTTTTCTCATGCAGGGCACCTCTTCATTCAGCATTTTATTGAATGCACCGGGACATCATTTAGCTTTTTATTTCCAGGGCGGGAGTTCGGCTCGGAAGTTTGGTCTGGTTTTTTTCAGATCGCTCTCCATTTTATGCCTTTTATTCTATTTAAACTTTCAGAATCACAGCCTGGGTTTGTTTTATCTTCGCAAACTTGCTTATATTGCGAGCTAGCAACTTGGAGAATTTTGCTGTTGGGCTGAGCTAACTTTCCAAATATGAGCTCTAGGTTTGAATCCCAGTTTTTGTCCTTTTCTGACATAATTTTTGAAGCGATGAGGCCGGATCTAGAATCTCCACTCTATTTGTTTTCGCTGGAGAGGAGCGCAGAGTGGTTGTGCCAGACAAATCAATTTGTCATGCTCAGAGCCCAGTCCATGCAGCAACCACCACTTGGGCTGACAGCAAACGACTCCAGAGTTATATTTAATAACTGCTCCTAAACCTCATCTCCGGAGTCGTTGGGATCAGGAGGACAAACCGGAGCAGGGAGCGATTAAATTGCGTTTTGTTGTCCTGCAAGCTGAAGGAATCGCAGGGGTTTTGACACATCCTCACGTAGCCGGGAGGATGATTTAATGAGCTGCAGGAAGTTAGGAATAAAGAGATAAAGACCACTTAAAACAACACCTGAACTCTGCCAGGGACAGAATTCCAAGAGAATTCCCTGACGCGCCGGTGGCTGGTGCTGAGGATGCAGGAAAGGCTTGGTGGAGCGACGGGCACCGCGCGTTGGCGGCTCTGTGCACAATGGCACCAAAGGCTGTCTCTGGAAGGGAAAACCAAGGCAATTTCCCACTTGCAATATCCATGGCTGGCTTATCACACAGGCAATCCTGCAGCGAGCTCGTGGTGCTTCCCAAAAAGTTGGGGGTTCATTCCCCCCGCTGCTCCCGGGCAGAGGGAGGGTGGACATGTGGCCTGAGGATGGTGTTGGTGGCTATTGTTTGCCCGGGCAGGGATGTGAGGAGCCTGGGAAATTGGGATTGGAGCTGAGAATACCTGGATGCTGCTCCAAGAGATGCTTTCTGTGGCACGCTTAAAGGCAGCTCCATGAATAATAGCAGACATAGGCTGTTATTCTAATTATGCAGATTGCTAACGGGGAATTGCAGTGAGCGGGCTGGGTCCTGCTTTTCCACCTGGAAGTTCTCCCTCTGAAGTTTGAGCTGACCTTTAAATATTCCTCTTTAAAAACAAATTTACTGAGATTCTCTGCATTAACCCCGAACTTCTCTTACAGAGGGGAGAGAACAGAGATTAAAATAAAAGCCAGGCGCCTCAAAGTAATCCCAAGCAGGGAAGTGAAACTAAGCGGACTTTAGGAAGTGTGGGAATAATTCCTGCTTAAAGTCATCCCCGTGGCTTTTCCCCAGCTAATCCGTGATGCCGTGTTGTGATTTGCGACCTGCGAGGGAAAAGAAAGTAAAGCCCCGTTCCCTTTGAATCCTGAATTCCACAAACATGGCTTCTCCCCGTGTTCCAAAAGCGGGGAGGGAGAAAGGAATGTAACCTGAGCTCCAGCCCTGACATTCCCAGGGAGCATTTTTCACATGAAAGGCTTTTGTCAGCCCAGGAAAGGACCAGGAGTTTCTGTTTGATGTTTGCAGGTGTTCGGCACAGGGCACTGAACCAAGGCTGCAGCCTCTGACCTGCACTGGGAGAACTGGGGGAGACTGGGAGGCATTGGGAAGCAAACTCCCCTGGAGTTCCCTCCAATTTAGATCGTATTTAGAAAGTGATTTAATAGCTGTTACTTCAATTGAACAATGCACATTCATCGGGCTGAGGTGGGGGGTTGCTTTTGATTTTTCCTGCTTTGTTTGCCCTTTTTTTAGGACAGTTGCCAAAAAAAAAATTCATTTTCTCGCATCTACTAAAATTTTGGGAGGAGTTTGCAATCGCTTCCATAGTAAATTTATCTGAAATTGCTGCCATAGTAAATTTATCTGAAATTTATCCTCATTCAAGTGTGTGGCACTATAAAACGAAGAGATGATGGCTGGGGATCGGATTTTGAAGCAGCTTTTCCCCCAAGAATTCCCTGGGTCTGTCACATTTGACATATTTCAGTTTTTTATCTGCTAATCAAAGCCCACATCTTCCTGGTTCCGTTCAATTTCTGCTCCTTCTATTTAAAGGCTGGAATTTTACCTCCGTTTGGGAGCATCTGTTCTGGATTGCCCACTCTGTAGCTGTTTGAATAGCGTGTGGGTGGGAGCAGAATCAGAGAAAAGCGGAATTTTTATCATTGGCCATTCTCGTGGCCCAGAAAAAAGGGAAAAAATCTCCACTCTTTGCCTGACCAAATCAAGCAAAGTCCCTTTAAAGGATTTAAATCCTCGCTTTTCATTTTGCCATTAGTTTGATTAGGGCTTGGCCTGCATTAGAGCAACAAATTAATACATCTCTAACGAGGGAATTACAAATCCAGCACAGTTTAAATTCCTTGGTTTTTTATTTGGGATGTTCAGCGAGGAAATGATAATGAATATTGTGGGGGTTTTTTTAAGTACAGTCTGGTTTTGGAGTGTGGCCCGGTGGGAAAGCTGCAGGATTTTGTTATTTATTGTTTGAGCATCAAAAACCTGGAATGAGATGGAGGCTTTCTGGGGAAGATGTTTTGGAGCTGCTCAGGTGAGGCACACCTGGGATGCCTGCACGGATCCCGCTGCTCTCCGTAGGAACAGCGCCAGTGCCAGGGAGGATTTGGGAAGTGGAGGATTGGGATGTGTGTGGGGCTTGTCGTGCAGAAATGCCACCGAAAAAGAATAAACAGAGAGGGAACAAAACCTATGAGGGAGATTTTGGAATGAAACCCTGCTTGAAAAAGGAAGCAGTGCAGCAGGTCTGGAGCTGCCGTGGTTCCACGAGTGGAACCCCCGTCCACGAAGGGGAGCCCCATTTCTCAGGGCCAGAAAAGAAGGAGAAGGGTGCTGGAGTTTGGGTGTTGGCCGGGCCTGCGTGCCCCCGCGCTGCCACCTTTGCCAGGCAGCATTCCAGGGGCTCTGCAGCCCGCCTGGATCGTGTTCCTCCTGCCTTTCCCTGCTGAAAACCCCTCAGCTCCGCAAAAGCGGCTCCTTCCCTATTTTCCGTGCCTAATGTTTCGTAATTATGATGAAGGAGAAGAGGAATGCTGTTACCTCCCATCCTCGCAGCTATGTTTACTCGGCATCCTCCTCCCCTCCCAGCCCTGCCCCAGCCACTTCCGCGGGGGCAGCTCAAAAGCCACGCTCTGGGATTTGGGAACGGCCCGAGCCAGCCCCGGAGCACGCTTGGAGAGGAGCGGGATACGAGTTCCAGAGCAGAAATCCTGACTCCTACTCGCAGCAGCAAACGCAGCGTGGCCCGCAAAGGGCATTCCTGCCATCCCTCAGGTGCTCCAGTCTGGGAGCCGTGGGCCTGTGCTGGTAATTAAACAAATAAACCCCCTCAGCCGTTCCCCTGAATATGGAGACGGGGCTTTTCAGGTGCTTTTTGCCATCCTCTTTCCGTGCTACCTCTGGAATATATTTAATAATTCAGAATTCCCCGTCGGAACGACTGAACCGCTCCGGGCCCGCGAGCAGCCAAATGTCACTCGGTTGCGGGGACACTGCCTGCCCTTGCCAAGTTCAGCAGGAAGGGGAATGATGGTTCCCATTATTCCCTGGATCTCAGCGATCTGGGAAGAAAGTGCATCTGTGAAACCATGCAACTTAGGCCTGGCTCGGAGTTCAGTGGGAGTACAGGGCTCGCTCGGGGAAAAAACATGGGAGGTGCGATTTGGCTTCTTCCCCTTGGGTTTGTACTGGTGCCACTCCCAAATTCAGATGGATTTGTGTCCGAGGCAAAAGTGGCTTCTGTGGCCTGAATTCCCAAATAGGCACAAATAACTCTGGGAACACCACATTTTCATCTTTCACCACTTATTTTTTTTTTTGCGAATGCAAAAATAAAGTGATTGAAAATTTTTT